AAGATTATTGTGGAAAATCAAAGCTCAAGGTGTCAGGGGAAACACTGGCATGGATAGAAGATTTGGTTAGGTAGCGGGAAGCAGGAAATGAGCCTAAATGGCCCATTTTCTGGTTAGCAAAATGTAATGAGTGGTGTGTCACAGGGATCAGTCCTGGGATCTTGATTTTCTTACAAATTATAGAAATGACTTGGATGAAGGCACTGAAGGTGGTGTTGCTAAATTTGCCAACAATGCAGATAGTTCTGAAAGTAAGTTTGAAGGGGACCTAAGGAGTCTCAAAGGATTTAGGTTGAGTGAGTGTGCAAAGATCTGGCATTGGAGTCTAGTGTGAAAACTATGAAAATGGCCATTTTGCCATGAAGAAGTTAGGAATAAAAAAGCAGATCATCTCAATTATAGCGATTGCAGATCTCTCAGATGAGGAGGAATCTGGGTGCCCTCGTGCAGAACATGCAAAGGGTTAGTTCATACCAAGTATCCCTTTTGTTAAAGGAAGGACAAAAAGTGCATGGGAAGCACTTCAGCGAAAGTATACAAAACTAATGTCTGGAATGAGCAGGTTGTCTTATGTGGAGAGTTTAGACATGCGAGACTTGAATCCATTGGAGTTTAGAGGTGACTTGATTGGAACATGAAAGATCCTGAGGGTTCTTGACAGGGTGGATGTGGAAATGTTTCTTTTTGTGGACAAATCTAAAACTGGGGTAACTGTTTCAAAATAATGTGTTGTCCATTTAAAATGTGAGGAGAGATTTTCTTAGAGGGTTGAGAATTTTTTGGATGTTTTAAAGACAGAGGTATGTAGATTGTTAACGAGCAGTGGGATAAAATGTATTCAGAAGTAGGTGGGAATGTGTATGGTTGTACTGAATGACAGAGCAGACTTGATTGGCTGAGTGCTCTTTTCCTCCTGATTCAGTTGTAAATTGGTTAGATGGCCCAGATTCAACCAAGCTTTACGTTTTGCAGCACTGACTTTAAAAAATGGGGAGGGGGAGATTGGAGTAAAAGGAGTTAAGAAATATTGATGTACAGTTTCTTGAATGATGACTGTGGTTTGGTCCAGAAATGGTTGTTTAGATCTGAACAGGTTGGATCTACGTGTTTCAATATCTTTAATGCATTGCACGTCTTCTGTTTTGCAATTTCATTTTCCTGACATGTCAGATAACCTAAACTTCAAACTGTTCGGCTTAAGATTTTTACAATCAACTGAAGAAACACACTCCTTTCTTATCCCAGTCCCATCCTCTTACTTGTGTCATATTGTGGTTAGACAGATAACCTGGGGCAGGGCAGTAACTGAACCAACTGTATTTCTGAACTGATGAGATAAGAGTAGCTGGGTTATGTTTTGATGGTTTGTCTGCATTGCTCTCATATATGTAATTCTATCTGTTCAAATAAGTGTTTAACATTTGAAAATGATCTGTTAGGTTTTATATATAAACAGTAACGTGAAGTTTTTGAAATGGAGAGAAATTCCTTAGTGTCTGCTGGAGAAGATTATCCAATTTATAAAATTTTATTTCCATATGACTTCCCAAGGCAATCTGCAGAGAGAAAATAGATTTTTTAAAAATGTGGATATAGAGGATTTTATTTGAATAGAGAAGGAAATTCACATGGTAGAAGCAAGACTGTGCTACTGATGAAATGGATGGCAGGGTGCATGGAGTTGGGTACTCGGCTGTAGATGTGTACCTGGAAGTGAAAGGTTTCATTGACTGGAAAAATCTGAACACTATAATCTTGGAGACTGTATTTTTGTGGGAACTTGCATTGGCAGGAAGACTAGGACAAAATGTTGTAATTTGTAGAAAGAAAGGAAAATGGGAGTAGGAGTAAGACATTTGGTCCTTTTGAGGCCATTCAAAAGGATCCTGGCTGATATCCAACTCTACCCTATTCCTGCTTTCTCCCCTTACTCTGTGAGCTCTTTAGCCCTAAGAACTATATCTAATTACTACTTCAAAATATTCAATGTTTTGGCCTCAATCACATTTTAGTAGCAGAGAATTCCATAGGCTCACCACTTTCTAGCTAAGAAATTTCACCTTGTATCAGTCCTAAATGACTACTCAATTATCCTTAGACTGTGACCCCTATTTGTGGACTTCCTGGTCGAGTAGAGTATCCATTTTGCATTTACTGAGTTTAAACCTGTTAGAATTTTAAAGGTTTCGATGAGCCTCTTCATTCTTTAAAATTCCAGTGAATGTAGTCCTAACTGATCCAGTCTTTCTTCATCCCAGGAATCAGTCTGATAAGCCATTGTTGCACTTCCTTCATAGCCAGAATGTCCATCCTGTCTCATAAGAAGGCCAAAACTGTGCACAGTACTCCAGGTGTGGTCACACCAACGTCCTTTACAATTGCTACAAGACATCCCTGCTCCTGTCCTCAAATCCTATTGCAGGCCAGCATACTATTTGCCTCCTTCACCGCCTAATGTAACTGTATTTTTTTTCAGCAACTGGTATGTGATAGCATCTGGATCTAGTTCCCTGTTTCACAATCTATTGCTATTCAAATAATCTGCCTTGCTGTTTCTGCTACCAAAGTGGGTAACCTCACATCTATCAACACTATATATTTCAGTTGCCATGCATGTGCCCACTTTGTCAACTTGTCCAAATCATACTGAAGTATCTCTGCATCTCTTCACATTTCTTCTCCCACCCAGGTTTGTGTTGTCTGCAAATATAGAGATATTACATTTAGTTCCCTCATCTAAATCATTAATATTTATTGTGAACAGCGGGGTTCCAAGCACTGATCCTTGTATATTCCATGAGTCACTCGATACTGCTCAGAAAAATACTGTAATATTCCTCCTTTTTGTTTCCTGTCTGCCAACCTGTTCTCTGTCCATGTCAGTATACTAGACCCAAACACATGTACTTTAATTTTCCATGCTAATCTCTTATGTGGAGCATTATTGAAAGAATTTGGAAGGTGAAGTAAACCACACCCACTGGCTGTCCCTTATCAACTCTCATAAGTGAATGTTTTGAAGAAGAAGTTTTTGTAGGGAGGTGTGAGAGATCATAGACTTGTACAGCACAGAAACAGACCCCTCGCTTCAACTTGTCCATGCTGACCGGATATCCTAAGTTAATCTATAAGTGGGAATTTATGTAGGATTGGACTTGGTCTGCAGCATATGAACTAGTTAATGTTTATGGGGATTGGGAAAATACAGTATAATAATGTCTAGTTTAGAAACATTGGCCCCCATTTCTGAAGAAGGGTCCCAACCCGAAATGTCAACTTTTCTGCTCCTCTGATGCTGCCTGGCCTGCTGTGTTCCTCCAGCTCCACACTGTGTTATCTCTGATTCCAACATCGGCAGTTCTTACTATCTCTGTTATAACTTCATATTTGTATTATTTTCTATATGCACCATTCTGTACAGAAATTCATTTTGGAAACATTACTCATTTGGGAAATACAAGGGTGCCTTCAACCTGAAGTGTTCTCTGAAGGATTTAGAATTCCATTGAATAAACAGACAGCTTTAGTTACAAGGAAAATCACTGAACAGGATGACTGTGGGTACAAAGTAATAATCGCAAATGGGTGTGGCTCCAATGGGGCAGTCTTGACAGTCATTAGGAGTATTCTCCCTCTGGAAGCTCCAGCAGCTTGTCCCATCAGTCTACAAGTGGCTAATACTAACATTTTCCTTCCTAGTTTGTAGTTTCTAAAATTGATATTAATGGTTATTGTTGAAGTATTTTTTAACATGCAATATTTGGTCCTTTTCAATATTTCATCAAAAGTATATTGAAAACCAATAGTTGGGCCCTGTTGGTTTTCTCCGCAACCTCAGTGCATTTGGCTTCGGTTATAAGCTGTGCTTAATTTTGAGCCTTCCACCCTGCATAAACTTGGAGTGTTTGCTGCAGCTGCCAACTCTAACTGTAGGATTGCGCTCAGTGCCCGTACAGTCATAATGCCTTTGGTGTCACTAGCAGTGGCTCCACAGGTAACTGCTTTCATCAAAGAATAGGGCCGATAAGTGTTCATTTTCAAATGTTTCAAATCTATTCAATTCAAATTCTCTGTGCCTCTGTCCCACTCATAGTCTTGTACCACTTGGTTTTTTTTACTGTCCCTTACGAGGGAGCAGGGCACAAGTGGAAGAAGCGGGAATGCAAGGGACGTGACAAGTGGAGCAGCAACCTGGAGTATAGCAAGCAGGAGGGCAGTGGGACAGTGAGTGAAGACCAGAATTATGCGCATAAAATGTAAATGTTTCTAAGGCATCCAGCTCTATGTACCATGCACATACCTATGGATGGTCTGGAAGGCAATTGCAGTTCAAGGCACATTGCTGATGTTAGCGGTGCAGACTTCTGTTATTTTCTGACATCCCCAAATTTGGCCATAGTTTATTCAGTTTCCTCATGCCAAGTTATGAATATATGATGTAAATAATTGTGGCCCCAGGACTGATCCCTGTAGTACTCCACTAGTTGGGGGTTGCCATCCTGGAAATGCCCCCCTTTTGACAACTGTTATTTAATTAATCCTCTATCCATGCTAATATACTACCTCCAATAGATTATTTAAAATAATCTAATGTGTTGTATGCTATCATATATCTGAACATCCAAATACATTGTATCCATTGCTTTTCCTTTATCTAGCCTGCTTATTACGTCCTCAAAGAATGGTAATAAACTTGGCAGGCATGATTTTCTCTTCATGAAGCCATATTGACTCTGCTTGATTTTATTATTTCTAAATGCTCTGCTATTACATTCTTTAAGCAGCCTCTAACATTTTCCTAATAACAGTTCGTAAGCTAACTGGCGTATAGTTACTTGTTTTTCTGTGTCTACTTCACTTTTTTAAAAATTATTCTAAAAAAGTGTCTGCAGCCAGCTCTTTACAATGGCTGGAACTTTGAATTATGTGAGAATCCTGTTCCATTTCCAGTTATATCACATGGAAATAATCATCAAATTGTTTGTCATCTTATTTTTTAGCGCCGCACAAATTTTATATTGGTTTTCGATATGTTCATCCTCTAACAGAAGAAGCGGTGGAAGAAATGGAGAGAGATGGGATTGAGCGGGCAGTAGCTTTTACACAGTATCCTCAGTACAGCTGTTCTACCACAGGTATTGCAGTACGAGAGTCTAAAGCGAATAATACTGTTAACTAAAATTTTAAAGGTTAAAAGGTATAAGGCTAACTTTAAGATTTATCCTTTACTGAAGGAATTCTTTACTGGTTTCCACCTTTTCACACTTCTTCCTTTCCATAAGGGCAGGATGCAAATGTTTCAGTCTGCTGACAGCTATATGCTTAGCTGTCAGTGGCTGATATGCTTGATGGTAAATGTTCCCTTGCTTAATGGCTACAAAACACTTGTGAACCACCGGGTCCAGTTTAATTTGAATTCACGTGCCTGCATTCAAAAGACCCTATGTAAAGCTACTTTCCATAGTAAAATCCATTTTTGTTTTTGCTGAAATATTCTGATTGGACTAGAGTTGAGTTTGTGAAGACAGACAATGTGCTCCATATTCAGTTGAACATTTAGTTTGTTCTACCTTTGCGCAAGTTCTAACTTTTTGTTCAGTTTTGTATTATAAATATTTGACTTTCAAACTACTAAAGGTAAAGTTGCCTTAGTCCCGGAGAACCATAGGGTCTGCTCTGTCGTCAGAGAGAGAGAGAGACGACTGATGCTGAGTTTAACCTGAGGATCACCACACCTCAGGCAAGAGGGGATGTTGAGAACAAAGAATAATACAACACAGAAGAAAGAGAATTCTTTATGGTAAATTCAGCTGGTCCAGGAATTAGTGGGCGGCACGGTGGCTCAGTGGTTAGCACTGCTGCCTCACAGCACCAGGGACCCAGGTTCGATTCCAGCCTTGGGCAACTGTCTGTGCGGAGTTTGCACATTCTCCCCGTGTCTGCGTGGGTTTCCTCCGGATGCTCCAGTTTCCCCCCACAGTCCACAGATGTGCAGGTTAGGTGAACTGCCATGCTAAATTGCCCTAGATTAGGTGGGTTATAGGGGGATGAGTCTGCGTGGGATTCTCTGAGGATCAGTGAGGACTTGTTGGACTGAATGGCCTGTTTCCACATTGTAGGGATTCTCTGATGAACCCACAGTGTTGGCAAACCAGGTGTTTTATCCACGGGGTTAATTGATCCCCAGCTGGCCTCCTTTTGAAGTATTGTCAGTGTTATCAACCAGAGTCCTTACACTTGTATGAATACTCAACTTTGCCTTAATATTTGAAAGCTTAATAATAATCTGTTGGTGGTTGCAAGCTAGTTGCACATTAATAAATAGAATCCTGTTCTAACTGAAAACTGCTTGTTGCTCCAGTGCTGTCTGGGCAGTAGCATATGTTAAGCCTATGACTCCCTGGTCTTTTGAGAATCCAGCTAGAGCAGGAAATCTGAGCGCCTTTGCATTTGAACTGATCGCTTCAGTGGCAAAGTAGATGTATGTTGCAGTGTTGGAAAACTGGGAGATGTTTATACTGTTTACAAGCACATGAAATAGAAGTAGTGGTAGACCAAAGGACCGGTCTAATCTGCTCTACCATTCAGTATGATCGCGGCTGATTTTTCAGCCTTCTTCCTGATTCGCAGAGAACAAAATAGCATACGTTAGTCCAAATGTGGTTTTGCTGAATCTCTGCACAATTACGACGAAGACTTATTATTAAATTCCAATTTCGTTGCAATGAAGTTTGTACCCGCACGCAGAGTTTCTGAATTTCTTGTATGAGGTATTGAAGTATCACTGAATGTTAACATTTTAAAATAACCAAACTGGACCAGTCATACAAGTACTAGCTATAACAGCAAGTCTGAGTAGTGTCTATCATGTACTAGATGCATTGTAGTAATTCACCAAGGTTCTTCTGATATCACTACTTTCCATACTTGTGACCACTGCCACCAAGAGGGACAAAGGCAGCAGATTCATCGGACCCACTATTACTTGCTAATTCCATTCCAAATCACACAACATCCTATCTTGGAATTATGTTTCCATTCCTTCTCTGTCAAAGTCACAATCTTGAACTCCCTCCCCAACAGCACAATAAACGTATCTACACTCCAAGGACCGTAGCGATTCAAGAAGGTAACTCACTGCCACCTTGACTGAACCCATTGGTGGGTCTAGCTAGTGATGCTGACATTCCATGAATGAATGAAAAATTTTAGAAATTTCACTCATCAGAACAAATGAAAGTGCCAAATTTCCAATGATCACAGTTTATGCTACAGGACTAAAAGGTGCTGGTTGCTTGCAAGTTAACCCTGATTGGCCAAGGCAGTGCCATGAAGAAAGAATCAGGGAACAGTAGTCTCCCTAAGCTTCTGGGTGATTCAAACAAGGCGCAAAACTTGAAAGTGTTCCTTATGTTGGCAGAGGAGAGGTCTCTGCTTATGAATCAAGAGCAGAAATTCCTGGGAAAATGCAGCATGTCTAGCAGGGAAAATCCAAAGTTATTCACTTTGGAAGGAAACAAAAGTACAGAATCTTATTTAAATAGAGAAAAACTACAGAAAGCTGTGGGGATATTTGTGCACGAAACACGGAAAGCTAGCGCACAGGTGCAGCACGTAATCAGGAAGGCTCTTTTTTATTCTTTATTCATTAATGGGATGAGGGCACCGCTGGCTAGGCAGCACTTGTTGCCCAGAGGGCAGTTCGGAGTTAGCAATTCTGCTGTGGGTCTGGAGTCACATGTAGGCCAGACTAGGTAAGGATGGCAGTTTCCTTCCCTAAAGGACATTAGTGAACCAGACGAGTTTTTCTGATAATTGACAATGAATTCACGGTCATCATTAGAATCTTAATTCCAGATATTTTATTGAATTCAAATTTCACCATCTGCCATGGCAGGATTCGAACCAGTGTCCCCAGAATGCTATCTCTAGATTAACAGTCCAGCGATAATACCACTGGGCAGTCTCCTCCCACTAATGAAATGTTGGCCTCTAATTTAAGGGGATTGGAGTATAAGAGTAGGGAAGTCCTACTGCAGCTGTACAAGGCACTGGTGAGACTACATCTGAGTAGTGTGAGCAATTTTGGTTCCCTTTTCAAAGGAAGTATATCATTTCATTGGAAGCAGTTCAGGGAAGATTCATAAGGATAATCCCTGATTTAGAGAGAGTATCTCGTGAGTAAAGACTAGACATCAGGCTTGTACTCCGTGAAGTTTAGAAGAATGAGAGGTGATCTCATTGAAACATGTAAGGTTCTCAAGCTTGATAGGATAAATGCTGAGAGGATGTTCTACTTATGGAGAGAGTCTAGGATCAGAGGGTAGAGTAAAGGGCACCAATTAAGACTAAGACTGAGGAGAATTTTTTTTAGGGTTGAGTATCTTTGGAACTCCTTGCCACAGAAAGCTGTTGGAACTTAGTCCTTGTGTATATTTAAGACCGAGATAGGTAGATTCTCAATCAGTAAGGGAATCAAGGGTTATGGGTAAACGGGTAAATGGATGTGAGAAATATCAGATCAGCCTTGGTCCTCCTGAATGGTGGAGCAGTCTCATGGGGGCATACAGCCTACTACTGATAGTTCTTATGGATGTCTTGAACTGCTGCAGTCAGTGTGCTGTAGCAAGACTCAAAATGCCCTTAGGGAGGGAATTACAGGATTTTGACCCAGAGACAGTGAAGGACGAGCAATATATTTCCAAGTCACGGTAGTGAATGGTTTGGAAAGGCACTTGCAGGTGGTGGTATTCTTGTGTATCTGCTGCCCTTGTTCTAGATGGAAGTATTCATGAATTTGCAAGGTGTTGTCTAAGGATCTTTTGATGAATTTTGTCAGGTATATCATATAGATAATATACACTGCTGCTTCTGAATGTCAGTGGTGTGAATGGCACCACATCTACAAACAATTGAGCAGGCCGATTTATCCTGGGTAGTGTCAAGCTTCTTGACTGCTGTTGGATTTGCACTCATCCAGGCAAGTGGGCAGTATTCCATTACACCCCTGCCTTGTGCCTCATAGATGGTGGTCGTGTTTTGGAGAATCAAGAAGTAAGTTACTGGCTGCAATATTCAAAGCTTCTGACCAGCCCTTGTAACCCACTATTTTATTTGGTGAGTCCAGTTCAGTTTCTGGTCAGTGGTAATCCCAGAATGTTGATAGTGGGGGACAGTGATAGGGTGGCTCAGTGGTTAACACTGCTGCCTTGCTGCGCCTGGGACCCAGGTTTGATTGTAGCCTCCGTTGTTTGACTGTGTGCAGCTTGTACGTTCTCACCGTGTCTGCAAGCATTTCCTCTGGGTGCTCCAGTTTCCTCCCACAGTCTGAAGATGTGCAAGTTAGGTGGATTGGCCATCATAAATGTAGGATTACGGGGATAGGTAAGGGAGGTTCGTCTGGGTGGGATGCTCTTTGAAGGGTCAGTGCAGACTTGATGGGCTGAATGGTCTGCACCCACACTGTAGGGATTCTCTGGTTCAGTGATGCAACGCCATTGAATGTCTGTCTCTTATTGGAGATGCTAATTGCCTGGCATTTGTGTGCTGCAAATGTCACTTGCCACTTGTCAGCCCAAACCTGGAAATTGTCCAGGATTTTTTCCATTTGGACCTGGACTGCTTCAGTATCTGAGGAGTCAGGATTGGTGCTGAACATTGTGCAGTCACCGGCAAACATCCCCACTTCTGACCTTTCAAGATGGAGGGCAGGTTGCTGATGAAACAGCTGAAGTTGGTTAGTTTAGGACACTACCCTGACAAACTGCTGCAGAGATGTCCTGGAGCTGAGATGATTGACCTTCAATGCCCACAGTCGTATTCCTCTGTACCAGGTATGACTCCAGCCATCGGTTTTCCCCCGATCCTGGTTAGTTCCAGCTTTGCTCAGGCTCCTTAATTGGATACTCGGTCAAATGGGATTTGATATCAAGGGCTATTACTCTTATCTCACCTAAGGAATTCATTTTTTTTGCCTATGTTTGCATCAAGGCTGTAATGAGGTTAGGAGCTATGTAGCCCCAGCAGAACCCAAACTGCGGGTAGGCAGCAGACTGTTAACTAGGTGCTCCTTGTTAGCATTTGGGGTTGATGACTCTTTTGGAGATAAGGAAAATATGCAATTCTACACTTTCCTTAACAGTTATATCTGTCCTCTTCTGACTTCTAAAATAAATGCTTTGAGTTCTTTCATCATAATTTAATCTTTTACCTTTTGTATTTTTCCAAGTTTTCACTGTATGCCTTTGTACCAAGCACCTATACTTTTTGCCATCTTAAAGTGAACAACATATTTTACCTTAGTGCAACGTTTCATTCACTGTTTGTGGAAAATGGTGGCAAGGCCACAGAATTGATTGCCTGGTATGAGGTAACAGTTTATTTGATTTGCTTTCTTTTGTAGGAAGTAGCTTAAACGCAATTTATCGGTACTATAATGGCAGGAGAGCAGCACCTAAGATGAAATGGAGTACAATTGACAGGTGGCCAACGCATCCTTTATTAATTCAGGTAATGGTTATGGATCCATTTGTTGTTTTATTTCTTGCTTTGGTGGAATATTCTGTATCAAATACAGTTCCTAGACGTGCTCTTCTCAGTAGCTGGCTGTTGGAACACGCTGGCAGGGACTAAAAAATCAGCAAAATGTAAGGTTTTGTTTTGTGGATTTTAATTTTACTCTGTATTTTAAAGAAAAACATGGCTTTGAGTCCTGTGAAGTGCCCCTTACAAGTGCTGCATATCGGCAGCGTGGCTTATTGTGAGGAAACTACAAGTGTGCCATACAGTCTCTTGGCTCTTTGTCCACTAGTAATTACATCCGAGGCTTAGCAGTGTAGTGCTTTTCAAATGATACTCCTTAATCTGTGTTGCATATTAAAGCTGCTGATGATATCTGTCACCGATGAACTGTCTACTATTCAAACTTAATTACTTTTTTGGGTTACTTGACTTTGAAAATAAAATGCTTTTGATCATCTGAGAACTGACAGTCAATTTAGAATATGCAACTGTTTTTATTTTAAGTGCACCTACATTGTCACTTATATTAGTAATGGTTTGGTTAACAGTTTTTGTTTATTTTGCAGTGTTTTGCGGATCATGTACGGCAGGAACTTGATCGATTTCCACCTGAGAAAAGAGATGATGTAGTCATTTTGTTCTCTGCTCATTCTCTGCCTATGTCTGTAAGTGCCTTAGAGCAATATTGTAATTGAAAGAATCAGTTTGACTAGAAGTGCACCCAAGTGAATTCTGACTTTTTGCACACCTTGCTAAGTTTTATGTCTTTGGTCCATTTTGGGATCTGTATCTGAGTTCATTTTTTCACCTGATCTGCCCAGGATCTTCTGTCTTGTCTTCGTTGTGCTCGTTAACCATTGCATCACAGTTTTTAAAGAATCTTTTGCTCTCCTAACCTAAAACTGAGATTAAAGATACAACAGGCAGACAATGGCCTAATGGTATTAGCTGAGTTTTTGGATTCATAGTCGTGTGATAATGTTCTGGGGACTCCCTTTGAATCCCACCATGGCAGATGGTGGAATTTGAATTCAGTTAGACGAAGGAGATCCAGTGGACGTGATATGTGGCAGATGGAATACAATGTGGGAAAGTGTGAAGTTATGCACTTTGATAATAAAATAGAGGTGTGGACTATTTTCTAAATTGGTCAAGTCTTCGAAAATCCAAAGCATAATGGGACTTGGGAGTCATTGTTCAGTGTTCTCTTAAAATTAACATGCAGGTTCAGTTGGCAGTTTGGAAGGCAAATGTAATGTTAGCATTAGTTAAAGAGTGCTAGAAAATAGGATCGGGGATGTACTGCTGACGTATAAGGTTCTGGTCAGTCCGCATTTGGAACATTGCAAGCAGTTTTGGGCCCTGTGTCTATGGAAGGATGGGCTCCAGTGAAGGTTTACAAGAATGATCCCAGGGATAAAGGGCTTATACAAGGAGTAGTTGAGGACTCTGGATGTGTACTTGACAGATTCAAAAGGATGATGGGAATTAAACCTTAAAGGATACTGAGAGGCCTGGATAGAGTGGATGTGGCAAAGCTGTTTACATTAGTTGGAGAGACTAAGACTGGAGGGTACAGCTTCAGAGTGAAGGGATGGCACTTCAGAATTGAGGTGAGGCGGGATTTCTTCGGCCAGAGGCTGTTTAATCTGTGGAACTCGTTGCCGCAGAAGGCTTTGAAGGTCAAGTCATTGAATATGTTTAAGATAGGTTCTTGATTAGTTAGGAAATCGAAGCTTACAGGGAAAAGGCAGGGGAATGAGGTTGAGAAACATATCCACCATGATTGACTGGATGGGCCAAATGGCTTAATTTGTGCATCAATGTTATGGTTAACAAAAAGTATATGAAATTACAAATCTGAAACCATTATTGATTGTTGGAAAAATCCATCTGGCTCATGAATGTCCTTTGGGCAAGAAATCTGCACTCCTGACTTGATCTGGTCCCCATGTGACTCCAGACCCACAACAATGTGGTTGACTCTCAACACTGCTCTGAAATGGCCTAGTAAGCCATTCAAGTTGTATCAATTGCTACAGAGTTTCAACAAAAAAATGAAATTGAACAGACCACCTGACATTGACCCAGGCACTGGAAAAGACAGAAACAACCTTGCAAAGTACTCCTGACTAACGTCCGGGTGCTAGTGCCAAAATTGGGAGAGTTGTCTCACAGTCTAGTCAAGCAGCATCCTGACGTTGTTTGTAAGGTACGATTCTTAAGTATGACAGTCCCAAACACCACCATCCCCATCACTGGATGTGTCCTGTCCCACCATTGGGATAAACCCAGCAGAGGTGGCAGCACAGTGGTATACGAGGAGTTGTCACAGAAGTCCTCAACTTTGAATCCGAACCCAATGAAATCTCATGGTTTTAGGCTAAACATGAGCAAGGAAACCTGTTGATTGTCAAGTACTGTCCAATCTTGATGAATCAGCACTCCTCCATGTTTAACAACACTTGGAGAAAACACTGAGGGTGGCAACAGCACAAAAAGTACTCTGGGTGGGCAATCTCAATGTCCACCAACAAACATGGCTCAGTAGCAGCACTGCTGATCGAGCTGGTCAGGCCCTAAAGGACGTAGCTGCCCGACTGGGTCTACAGTAGGTGGTGAGGGAGCCCACAAGAGGGAAAAACATACTTGTCCTCATTCTTACCAATCTGCTGGCTGCAGGTGCATCTTTCCCTGACAGCATTGGTAAGAGTGACCACCACACGCCCTGTGGAGATGAAGTTCCACCTTCACATTAAGAATACCCTCCAACATGTGATGTGACACTATTACCATGCTAAATGTCCCAGATTGTGAACAGATCCAGCAACTCAACACTAGATATCCATGATGTGCAATGGGCCATCAACAGCAGCAGAATTGTATTGCAGCACAATCTGCAACCTTTTGGCCCGGCATTTTCCCCATTCAACCCTTGCCATCAAGCCGGGGAATCAACCCTAGTTCAATGGAGTGTGCAGGAGGGCATGCCTGGAGCAGTACCAGCCATACCAAAAAATAAGGGGTCAGCCTGATGAAGTTACTAAACAGGATTACCTGCATATCAGACAGCATGAGCAGCAAGTGATAGACAGACACAGCTAAACGATTCCACAACTGATGGATCAAATCTAAGCTCTGCAGTCCTCCCACATCCAGTCATGGTGAATGGTGATGGACAATCGAACAACTCATTGGTGGAAGAGGCTCCACAAAAATCCACAATGACAAAAGAAGCCAACATGTAAGTGCAAAAGATAAGGCTGAAGCATTTGTACCAATCTTCAGCCTGAAGTTCCAAGTGAGTGATCCATCTGGGCCTCCTTCAGTGGTCTGCTGCATCAAAGATGCTAGTCTTCAGCCTATTCAATTCATTCCACATGATAAAAAGAAACAGTTGGAGGCATTGGATACCGCAAAGGCTGTAGGCCCTGATAACATTCTGGCAATAGGCTTGTGCTCCCAGCCAAGCTCTTCCAATACAGTTACAAATTGCCCAGGTATGTCCTGTACACACAAAGCAAGACAGTTCCAACCCAGTCAATTATCACCCCATCGGTCTTTTTATTTATTCGTCTGGGAACAGTGCAATCGAGCAACACCTGCTTGGGTTCTGCCATGGTTACTCAGCTCCTGACCTCATTACAGATTTGGTTCAAACATGGACAAAAGAGCTGAATTCCCAAGGTAAGGTGAGAGTGACAACCCTTGACATCAAAGCTGCGTTTGACCAAGTGGGGCATTAAGGAGTCCTAGCAAAATTGGAACCAATGGATATTAGGTGCAAACTCTCTGATGGTTGGTGTCATACCTGGCAAATAGGAAGATGGTTGTGGTTGCTGGTCAGCTGATTTAGCTCCAGACATCTCTACAAAAGCTCCACAGGGTAGTGTCCTAGGTCCAACCATCTTCAACTGGTTCTTCAATGACCTTCCCTCCAGGTGTGAAGTGGGGATGTTTGTGCAGTTATTGGCAATGTTCGGCATTAATCGCAGCTCTTCAGATACTGAAACAGTCCATATTCAAATGCAACAAAATCTGGGCGATATCCAGGCTTAGGCTGACAAGTGGCAAGTAATATTTGCACACCATAAATGCCAGGCAATGACCATCTCCAATAAGAGACAATATAACCATCAGCCCTTGGCATTTTAAAGGTGTTACCATCACTGAATCCCCCACTATCAATATCCTGGGGGTTACCGTTGACTCCATTTAAAATCTCCATATAAACACGAGCAAGTCAGAGGCTAGGACTACTGTGGCAGGTAACTTGCCATATGACTCCTCGAAGCCTGTCCACCATCTACAAGGCACAAGTCAAGAGTGTGATGGAATACTTCCCACATGCCTGGATGAGTGCAGCCCCAACAACACTCAAGAAGCTTGTCACCGTCCAGGGCAAAGCAGTCCGCTTGTTTGGCACCATGTCCACAAGCATCCATTCCATACCGCACTGACGTTTGTATACCATCTACAAGATGCACTGCCAACATTCGCCAAAGATCCTCAGACAGCACCTTCCATACTTGCTTCCATCTAGATGGACAAGGGCAGCAGATGTATGGGAACACCACCACCTGCAAGTTCCCCTCCAAGCCATTTACCATCCTGACATGGAAAAATATCACCCTTCCTTTACTGTTGCTGAGTCAAAACCCTGGAATTCCCACCGAAATGGCATTGTGGTTCAACCTGCAGAACGTGGACTGCAGAAGTTCAAGAAGGCAGCTCACCACCACCTCCTCCAAAGGCAACTTGTGATGGACAATAATTGCTGGCCAGCCAGCAGCACCCACGCCCCAAGAAAGAACTTTTTTAAAAAAAAAAAAAAAAAAAATGTTTCTGAAACCTTTTCAAATTCCATCTAGATTGGCAAAAGGATTTTCCTCCTTCCAAAGCAGTTATTTTCAAGGAGTTGGCAGAACATTTAACCATCTGAACAAAAGTTAATTTTGGTTTTGAGACAAAGCATGTTTAGTTACAATTTTAAATCCTAGCTCATTCAGATTCAATCTGGCATTGATGTGAAATTTTCTGCCTAGAGAAATAATTATGTATGGCATTTGTACTTTGAAGATCAGCACTGTATCTAGATTGGGCTGGAATCGAATATTAATTTTTTTTTGGGGTAACTGAGTTGGCAGCAAGGAAGATACTTCTGTATTTTGTCTTTGGCATTGTGAGATTTAAGGGCCAGTGATATGGTGTCTTGTGCAGCCCATTTAAGCTTACATTAGTTGCCATGGACATAGCGTATTAAGATTGTTTCTGTGCTGTAATAGCAAAGTAAACATACCTGTTATGGGAGGGAAATAGAGGTGCTCTGAGTGTAATCGGGCACATTATATATTTTCATTCTATTTTAAAAGATTGGGGAATAAACAACCTATATCATGAACAACTGGAACGTAGTGAATGGCAGTTTTGTGAAGTATTTTGTAACAAGCTGTCATAGAGTCAAGATATACAGCATGGAAATAGACCCTTCGGTCCAACTTGTCTATGCCGACCAGATATCCTAAATAAACCTAGTCTCATTTGTCAGCATTTGGCTCATATCCCTCTAAACCTTTCCTGTTCACATACCCATCCAGATATCTTTTAAGTGTTGTCATTGTGACAGCCTCCAACACTTCCTCTGGCAGCTCATTTCATACATGCACTACCCTCTGCATGGAAAATGTTGCCCCTTAGGTCTCTTTTTAAATCTTTCCCCTCTCGTTCAGAGCTGTGCCCTCTAGTTTTGGACTCATCCCATCCTGGGGAAAAGACCTTGTCTATTTAGCCAATTCATGCCCCTCATGATTTTATAAACCTCTATAAGGTCACCTCTCAGCTGCTGATGCTCCAAGGAAAATAGTCCCGGCTTATTCAGCCTTTCTCTATAGCTCAAACAGTCCAACCCTGGCAATATCCTGTAAATCTTTTCTGAACCCTTTCAAGTTTCACAACATCCTTCCTATAGCAGGCAGACCAGAATTACACTCAGTATTCCAGAAGTGACCAAACCAATGTCCTGTACAGCAGCAACATGACCCCTCAACTCCTATACTCAATGCACTGACCAATAATGGCAAGCATACCAAATGCATTCTTCACCATCTTATCTACTTGTGATTCCACTTTCAAGGAACTATGAACCCACACCCCAAGGCCTCTTTTTGTTCAGCAGCACTCCCCAGGACCTTACCAGTAAGTATAAATTCTGCCCTGATTTGCCTTTCCAAAATGCAGCACCTCTAAATGAAACTCCATCTGGCACTCCACATCCCATTGGCACATCTGATCATTTAAAAAAAAAAAATCTCAGCAAGGGGGTCAGCAATCATTTCCCTACTTCCCACAAAGTTCTAAGGTACATCTGATCAGGTTCTGGGGATTTATCCACCTTTACGCAATTTAAGCCGTTGAGCACCACCACCTCCCCAATATGAACATTTTTCAAGATACCGCTACTGATTTTCCCACGTTGTAAATCTTCCATATCCTTCTCCACAGTAAACACTGATGTAGAGTACTCCTTTAGTATGTCCCCCATTTCCCACGGTTCCACACATAGGCGGCCTTGCTGATCTTTAAGCGGCCCTATTCTCTCCCTATTTACCCTTTTGTCCTTTTATGTATTTGTAGAGTCCCTTTGGATTCTCCTTAGCTTTGGCAAATAGGATTATCTCATGACCCCTTTTGTACCTTCCTGATTTCCCTCTTAAGTATACTCCTGTTGCCTTTATACTCTTCTGGGGATTCACTTGATCTCTGCTGTCTCTTCTTGACATATGCTTCCTTCTTTTTCTTAACCAAAACCTCAATTTCTCTTGTCATCCCATATTCTCTACACCTACCAACCTTGCCCTTCACACTAACAGGAACATACTGTCTCTGGACTCTCATTATCTTGTTTTTGAAAGCTTCCCATTTTCCAACCGTCCCTTTCCCTGCAAGCACCACCCTCCAAAACCCCCCCCCCCCCCCCCCCCCCATATCAACTTTTGAAAGTTCTTGCCTAATACTGTCAAAATTGGCCTTCCTCCAATTTAGAACTTTAACTTTTAGATTCAGTCAATCGTTTTCCATCACTTTTAGAACTAATAAAATTATGGTTGCTGGCCCCAAAGTGCTCCCCCACCAATACCTCAGTCACCTGCCCTGCCTTATTCCCCAAGAGTAGATCATGTTTTGCACCTTCTCTAGGAGGTGCATCCACATATTGAATCAGAAAAGTTTCTTGTACACACTTCCTCTCCATCCAAGCCTTTAATGCTGTGGCAGTCCCAGTCTACATTTGGAAAGTTAAAATCCCCTACCATAACCACCTTATTATTCTTACAGATAACTGAGATCTGCTTACAAATTTCTTAATTTCCCACTGCCTACTGGGGATGATCATCCCTTTCTTATTTCTCAGTTCCACCCAAATAACTTCCCTCGACGTATTCCCAGGAATATCCCGAGTTCATCTGCCTTAACTGTTAGGTGTCTTGCTTTGAAATAAATGCAGTTTAATTTATCAGTCCTACCTCATTCTCTGCTTTGTTCCTGCCTGCCCTGACTGTGTTTGAGTTGTTCCTTTTCCCAACTGTATCAGTCACAGACTGATCTCTTTCCTCACCAGCTCCTTGGGTTCCTACCACCGCCGCTACCCCCCATCCCTTACTTGTTTAAATCCTCCTGAGCAGCCCTATCAAATCTCCTCACCAATATAGTAGACCCCCTTCCAATTCCGTGCAATCTGTCCTCCTTATACAGGCCACTTCTACCTCAGAAGAGATTCCAGTTATCCAAAAATGAGAGTCCTTCTCCTCTGCACCTGTTCCTCAGCTACATATTCATCTACTCTGTGCTCCTTTTCCTACCCTCACTAGCTCATTGGGAGTGATCCAGATATCACTACCTTTGAGTACTTCTTTTTTGAATTCCTGCCTAACTTTCTGTATTCTCTCGTCAAAATCTCATCCTTTTCTCTTCCTGTGTCGTTCGTTCCAATGTGTACAATGACCTCCTGTCTCTCCCCTTTGAGAATATTTTGCACCCGCTCTGAAATATCCTTGATCCTGGCACCAGGGAGGCAATGCACTGTTCTGATGTCTCGCTGTCGGCCGCAGTAATATCTGTCTGTGCCTCTGACTAAAGAATCCCCTATCGCAATCAATCACTTACCTTGACATACCCCTTGTTACATTAGAGCCAGTCTTGGTAACAGAAACTTGGCTGCCAGTGCTGCGTTCCGCTGGGAGTCCATCACCCAGTACGTTTTCCAAAACAGCCTACTTGTTTGACATAGGGATAGCCACAGTAGACTCCTGCATGACTTGCCTCCCTTTCCAACATTTCCTGGAAGTAACCCATCTGTCTGACTATATATATCCATTACACCTGCTAGCTCCTGTAAATTCCTTTATTGCCTCTAACTGCTGCTCCAATCGATCCATGTGATCCGATAGGATTTGCAACGAAACACACTTCCTGCAGACATAATTATCAGTAACCGGGAAACTCTCCCTAATCTCGCACATCCAACAGGAAGAGCACATCACTCTATTAAATGCCATCTTTGAACCCTAACAATCTACAGACCCAGAAAATAGCACAGTCTTACTGCTCTAAAAAACACTGCTCCAGGCTAACTTAGTGCCTATGTTTTGTATTTTTAAAGTTTAATCAAGAGACAGGTCTCAATAAAACATATAATCAAAAAGGAACCCACCTCTACTCACTATTGTAGATTTACAGACAAAAACAGTAAGGTTACACTGTTTAAAAAACACTTATTGGCTCCCCTGCTGTGAGCTACCCCACATAAGTTTCTTCAAGGATAGCTGTGAATTTTGCTTTATTTATTTTTCTTAGATGAATTCTGACGTCCAGAGATACTTGAAATCAAACAGCAGAGCAGTCAGCTCTGCAGGTTCGCTGCTGGTTCAGACAGCAGTCAGGTTTATTTCTCTGTTTCATTCACTTTGCATCTGGTCATTGCCTTTGTTTCTCCTCCTCCTTTTTAAAGTGCCGTTGCTTTGATTTTTTTTTTCCCCCCAAAGTTCCAAAACAATGCAATAGCTTATAAAACAGTAATTTCTGCTCGTAGCATTCTAGGAAATCTGCTCCAAAACTGAAAATACCTCAAAGGAGTAGCTCTTCAAACCAAAATTTTTTTCCCATCCTTCATCTTGATAAATTGTTCCATTGTATTTACTGTGTAAGGTGTTAACAGGGAATGTATTTAAATAATTGGATGTGTACAAAACTAGCACTTATTGGCCATTGCATATTTTTGAATAACTAACTATATGGAATCCATTATGCTACCATTGTTTGTTAGCACTGTCTGTCTTTCAGGTTGTGAATCGAGGTGACCCCTATCCACAGGAAGTGGGAGCAACTGTCCAGCGAGTCATGGAAATGCTAAATTTCAGTAACCCATACAGGCTGGTGTGGCAGTCTAAGGTAACAAGCGCTTCTGAATACCATTATTTATTTATTTGCAGAAGATTACAACTGGAATATGAAATCTATTCCACTGTCCAACAGTGTCACTAAATTATACCTTGATTTTATTTACCTGCCTTTGTTTCATACCCCTTGATATACTGGTTTTGTGTGGTTTGTTTTGTATAGATGGTTCTTTGAATGGTTCTGTGCATACCCAAAAACAACTCAGCCAGTGTACTGTGGCTACTGTTTGCCCTCCCAGTATAGCTTGCTGTTCTTGGGCTTAGGCTGACTAAGACAGGGAGATTTTAAATTTTTGAGTGAGCAAACCTTGTGAAATGTCATTTGAGCAATTATCTCATTGGAGACTATTGCATCAGTAGGTCTTGGTAGTGTCGAACTGAACGGCTAACATATTTCTGAAAATCTGTCATTCATTCTGGAAAATTTTAGAGTGTACCTATAGGGAGACTTTGGTACTATAACAATAAAATAAGGCTTCATATATTTATTCCACGTTGCTATGTACTTTTGTGACCCATCCATTTCAGACGCGTTTTAAAATATGTTGAATAAATTTTAGTCAACCAAGTTGCATTTGAACTGGGTAGAACTGAGAGAATTGATAAACTGGAAAAACTATATGATGGGAAATTGTTACATGTTTTGATATGGTATTTCATTTTAAGATGACATGACATGAAATGCTTTCATCAAGTGACACCTGCTGGTATTTGACAATCACTGCGGCTATTGAAGCTCATTTGGTTCAGTTACATGCTTCTGCATCTAATAGCATCATAAAGTTTGTCATAAATCTAGAAAAATCAGGTGTAAATAACTTGAACCATTTGTGCTTCAGTTCCTGAAAGTGATGAAAGATACTTCTGTTAATAGTGTAACTTGTTTTCTTTAATACAGGTTGGTCCTATGCCCTGGCTTGGACCTTCCACAGATGACACCATCAAAGGATTGTGTGAGAGAGGCAACAAAAACTTATTATTGGTCCCTATTGCTTTCACCAGTGATCACATTGAAACACTGCATGAACTTGATATAGAATATGCACAAATCTTAGCCAATGAGGTAAGTTGTCAGGTTGTTTGTGATACATGGTCATCTTTATAATCTCCCCATATTGATTGAGGAAGTGAGTATTTTTTTGTTGTTGTTGTTTTGCAAGGGTTATCATGATATGATTAGTAATCCCTTTAACTTAGTAGATGGAACTTCGGTGGAAAAACAGACTCTCAAATCCAAGTTTAAATCTGTCATGATTAATTGCTTTCATTTATAATATGCTTTTACTGGAGCCTTTGTTCCGGGCATACGAGCATGGTGCAAATTATGGTTTGCACATAATTAAGATGCGCAGGAATAGAATGTGGAAATAGGAATGTTTTAAGCAACTGTACAGGTGTTGGGGTGAAACCACATCTGAAGTGTACACTTTTTGTTTCTGATTATGAAAAAATATACAATTGCTTTTGGAAGTAGTTCAAGAAGGTTCTCTTAATTCATTCCTGGGTTGCAGGACCTGTTTATGAAGGAAGGGTAAATGGTTTCTACCCAGTTGAAGTGCATTTTTTTTTTCAAGTTCTGTATTAATCACGTCACATGAGGTCTTGTGGTGCAGTGATACTGTCACTACCTCTGACCCAGACCTTCTGGGTTCAAATCCTTCCTGCTCAAGGTGGGACATAACATGTCTGAGCAGGTTGTTTAAAAATAAGTATATCGATGTTTGGCATTTAGAAAAAAATGCAAGCTCATCGCTATTGAAACATGAGATCTTAAGTGGACTGTATAGGATAGATACCAAGAAATTGTTTCCTTTCATGGGGTGACTAAGGCTATAGGATATAGTTTAAGAATAAGAGTCCGTCAGTTAAATATGGTAAAAATAACAACTCATGAAAGAAACTTAACCTGTTCTCCAAGTTCAGTAAAGCAAAACTACCGTGATTGCTGTAGAGCAAAAGTAAGCTGTTAAAAGATTTTTTTTCTAATATAAAATTGCAACAAGTATTATTTTCTTTTATTTTTCTTTGTCCATCTTCAATAAATTCATTGTTTGTATCCAATTTACCTTTTATTTATTCATGGGATGTAGATGTTACTAGTTAAGCCAGTATTTCTTGTGCATTCTTGATTGCCCTTGAGAAGGTGATGGTCAGTTGCCTTGTTGAATCACTGTGTGGGGCACCCACGATGTTGTTTGGAATGGAGTTCCAGGATGTTAACCCAGCAAGAGTGAAGAGAATGAAATAGTTCCAGACAGGATAGTTGTGGCTTGGAGGGGAGCTTGTAGATGGTAGTGTTCCTCATGCATCTACTGCCCTCAATCTTTTAGGTGCTAGAGGTCATGGGTTTGGAGGGTACTGTAGAAGGAACCTTGATAGTTTGTTGCAATGCAACTTGTACAGGCTCGATGTCAAGGGCTGTCACACTCAGCTCTTAATGTTTAGATCAAGGCTACTCAGGAACTGAGTGCACCTGGCAGAACTTTATTTGAGCATCAGAGAGCAGGTTACTGTTGAGAAAGTGCCACTACATAGCATTGTCAATTATACCATCTGTCATTTTACTGAAGCTCAGGAATATACTGACGAGGTGGTAATTTGTCTAGTTGGACTTATCCTATTTTTTTCATGTATCGGACCCTGAATGAGTCCTACCTGGATGATTTTCCACATTGTCTGGTAGATGCCAGTGTCATAACTCTACTGGAACAACCTGACAAGAGGTGCAAGTCTCCAGTGCTATTGCCAGAATACTGTTGAGGCTCGCAGTCTTTGCAGTGTCCAGTGCTTTCAACCATTTCTCTGTCATATAGTGATTTGTATTGGTTTAAGGCTGGCAACTGTAGGGGTGCGGATAAAAGCTAATTAGCTGGAGTCTCCTTGCCTATGTTTGACACACTGCAGGCAATGAAATGCATCTGTATTCTACCATTTTTGCCACATAGCCAATCGCTTGGAAAGGAGTAAGAGTGATCCATAGGAATAATTTGTCTTCTGTTTCCCCTTTTGCTTACTCTCTCCTTTTTGGACAATTGACTGGTCCTTGCTCAATGTGGTTTTGACACAGCAAGTCAGATCCCAAGCATCATTTTATGCTGTTTGAGATGAAGGATATGAAGAATGAACATTTTTTAAAATTCTAGTCTCATCAGTATCATAAGGCAATCTCCTGCAATGCAACGCTGTGTTGATTCTTCTTATTGTACCCATCAATATATGGTAACCCCACCTCAAAGACATGCCCCCTTACACTTTTTTTTTAAACTTCCAAATCAGTCTTCATATACCCTATGAGTGAGACTGTCATTGAGTATTCTGTTGGGGATGCTTTTATTCTATGGTATTTTTGAATTAATAAATCCATTTCATGTGAAAATCTCAAAAATGGCAGAAAGAAGATTTTCACTTTATCAATCTGAAATGAATTTGACCCAAGTGGTGCAAAGGCAGTGTTCTGAGCAATTGGTCATTTGGGTTGCTATGCATTATATAAAATTAGAAATGAATGCCTTGGTGAAATGTGTTTCGAAATAATTTTTGTTTTCTTTCCACAATATCTGTTTCAGTGTGGCGTTGAAAACATTAGGAGAGCAGAGTCACTAAATGGAAACCAGCTGTTTATAAAGGTGACATAGTTTTATGTTTAGCTTTATAAAGCAATTTATATTAACCTCCAGAGAGATGGTTTTTGTGGATGTGTACTTTGCACATTACACGTCTGTTGCCGGTTTAATGTGGAAAGTAAAGACTGTTTTAAATTCAATAATGGCACACAGTCGTTGGTGAAAAAAGATATTCAATAAAGTGTGAAAGTAAATTGAAAGGCCAAACTAGCAAGTAATCTAAAAACCGACACCAAGAGCTTCTTTAAAATCTTGGACCAAAGGCCATAATCTCAGAATTAGTAGTCACAGATGAGGAGGAATTTCTTCTCGGTAGTAAATCTGTGGAATTCTTTACTGCAGAGAGCTTTAGAGGCTGGGTTGTTAAATATATTCAAGTCAAGGTAAACAGAATTTTAATCTGTAAGGGAATCAAGAGTTATGTGGGAAAGGCAGGAAAGTGGAGGATGGAGCAGACTCGTTGGGTCAAATGCCTAATTCTGCTCCTATATGCTATGCTGTTAAACTCCCTGTTCAGCTTTGTAAATGACAGGTGTTAACTTGGTTATGAGTGGCTTGCACATATAGTGTCCAGTGAGATGATTGAGCTCAGCTAAGTTCCATGTTCTTTTGTGCAGTTGTTGACATCCCTACAAATACAACAGTGGCTGCTTTTTAGAAGTGCATCATTGTTTGTAAAGTGCTCTGAGACACAAGGTTGTGAAAGTGTAATGTAAATTCAAAGTCAGAAGTCAAATGACACCAGGTTATAGTCCAACAGGTTTATTTGAAATCAGAAGCTTTTGGAAGGCAGCCCCTTCATCAGGTCACTGTGACTTCTGACTTTGACCAACCCAGTCCAGCACTGGCACCTCCACAACAGTGTAAATTCAAGCAGTTTCTTTCTTTAAATCAGATTTCCTGTTTTATTAGTTGAGGAATATTAATCGGAGATCATGAGATAATGAAATCAGTTGAAACATCTTTGCAGCACTACGTACTTAGTCAGCAATAAGCAGCATCAGGCCAGAGGATCTTCCTGGTTGATATTGGCTGTGTCACAGCAACACATTTTTGCATAAAGGCTTGAATGCAGTTAGTTCAAAAACAATTTACTGTTTTTCAACTCCCTGAAACCAAAGATCACAACTTAAAATTTCATGTTAGCTTGCGAAATTGGATATGTGTGAGGGGAGTACCAGAAAAGTTACCATGATAGCTGTCAGATTGCCTTAAAACCCCAATTGGTTAATAACCCATGTGTCAGGAAGCCAGCACTACTGCAGTACAAGCAGTTCTTGTCTCTCAAATACCCCCTTGGATTGGTCTGTTAAACACTTATTAAAATTCAGGAGTAAAGAATAAA